TATAAAATATAAAAAAAATAAATAAGTGCCTGCAGGCTGCAGGAACCGTTAAAAATATCAAAAATACATTTGCAACATTTTTTTTGTACACATTTCATGTTCAAATGTTGATACAATTAGATATTAAACCAAAAATAACGATTTTAGTTATTTTGTTGAAGTTCAAAAAAATTATTTGTAGGTCTTGAAAGGTTCATCATTACCTGTATATATAATATATTATATGAGTAGTATTACAGTATTATTGTACAATGACATTTTAAAATTTTTTTTTTTAAATTTTAAGCCACTTTTTATAAAGATAATATAAGATAATGGCATCTGTAGGCTATTTAGTAATATTATGATAGTTTAATTATATGGAAATAATATTAAAATAATTAGATCATAATAGTATAATGCTATGATAAATGTAATTAGTTTTGAGTAATAATTAGTTCAATCTATCATGTAACAAATATAAAAATAAATTATTAATAGCAATATAAATACAATATCCAGCTAGAAATATATACAGACTGACATACCTCCCAGAATCGTTTTTCGTATACAATGATCGATCATTGACTTCAAATTTAACACTTTATTTGTTACAGTGAATTAAGTACTCATTGACAAGCAACATGCTCGACACCTAATGTATACTACCATAGAATAGGTTAATAGGTAGATAGGTGAAATGTCATTTCACATATTTTCTGTGATACTGCAGACTACAGTGATGTGTGATGACAGTACCTACTATATAATATATTATATAAATATATAATAGTAGGTATATATATATATACAGCAGCAGAACGAATTTTCCTGTTTAGGTATATTTATAACAAACATAACGTATTATCGTCAAAACATTTTTTTTTTGTTTATTAAAACTTTACAATACAAATATATGATGTAAAACTACAATCTGCAGTATTTTTTAATAAAACAAACAAATTGGTTGACATAATGGTAGATGATTAAAATTGAATGTTACTCATAACAATGATAAGAATGCTATGTTATATGCCTATATAGGCTATCAAGTAAATACTACACTGTTATTATTAACAATTAATAATAACGACCATACGAGTATGGGTTGACTGTATTAAAATAATAAGTAATAATATAGTTAGATTATATGTATTTAATTCTATACACAATTTGTTACATGAAATACAATAGTAATTTTTTATTTTATTTATTAGAATAAACAACAATAGGCAATAACAATATTTGAGTTAATATAAAATAAAATATAAACTTATAAGTATAGTATAAAAATTGGATTGACAAATGTTTAAAATTATAATTTTAAGTGTTTTAGTTGGTGTACGTACGCAGTGGCGTATCTAAGGGGGGGGGGGGTAATATCCCCCCTCGGACACCAAATTTTGCACACAATACAGCATGTATATGATAATATGAGTATAATATATTATGTATCCTTAATGTATATTTAAAATTGTATATCTTCGCCATGGAAAAAATCCTAGATACTCTACTGTAGGTACGTACACAAATACAATACACGACGGAGTGATACAGATGAGCGAAAATAAGTGAATAAACGTAAAATAAAATGGAAGCAAATGGTCAGCCTTAAGGTTGGGAAAGTTAAGTACTCTAAGTATTGTAACTGCTTACAAATTACAAGTTACAGTTATGTAACTAAGTTACATTTCAAGTTAAAAGTTACATTGGTAAATGTATGAAAAATTATTGACCTTCCACGGGTTAAGTAAAATAAATTTATGGTCGTTATGTTACGAAAAAAATGATTTACCACTATAATTGCACTGACTATCCGCTGGCCAGATTAATAAATTGTAAAAACCAAAATGAACAAATAAAACGTTTATTTTCTTTTGCTTTTGCAGTCTCATTATTTTATAAATTGTCAAAGCACAAAAAGCATAATTTAACTTGTAACTTTCATATACAGTCCCAGAAAAATTTGTAATTAGTTACAAGTTACAAAAGTAATCTAGTAACATAACTTAGTTACATTTAAGTTTTAACTTTGATATGCCCAACCCTAGGCCAGCTTAAACCATGACTTGTTCCTATGTTTAAATACATACAAGCTATAGGTATATTTATTGTATTATTACTATATCAAGTTGAAAATTTCATATGTATTGGTACTGCGCATATACCTATTATAAAATTATCCATCCTCCAGATTCGGCATTCAATAACCGAATAATAAATATAACCTTTCATCTATTGTGAATGAAAATAAAAATATATTCATTTAATTTTATCTTAGACAGGTTATCGTTATAGGTATATGTTGTTTTTGAAACTCACCGTTACAGCAGTGGCAATTCTCCCAAATTCCATTTAATGATGCTTTACAACGCCATTGGACGGTTCTACTCAAAATAATGCATCTCACTTTACACATTATATAGCAAGTAGGAGTCGGTTCTGACATTATAGATGTTTCCCACGGAATTTCACAAGTCTTATTATCATTTGGAAGATTACCATCATACTTTTTCCTGTCCTCGTAATCATCATAGCCATAGGAATTCACAAACAAAAAGAACGTCAGATTTAAAATCAAATAAATAAAACAGACTTTTTTCAAGAGATTCATTTTAAATTACCGGTTTTTAAACTAAAAGCATCAGAGAGATCAGTTAAAATTTTCCGATGCGAACTATATAGTTCAATATGATCCACTGCAGGACCCCATTGCAGACAATTCCTAGCGATCCTAGTGAAACCCGTCACAACTAGCCCCATTAGTGCTTCACAAAGGCACACACAGTCCAAGCAGTGAGCAATCTATGGTAATTATATTTTATGACCAATATGGTGACGTCGGTCCATGGTGTGATTTTTTACACATTGTTAAAGATTTAATTGTTCAGTCTAATTTCGTTCTTCAAAAAATAGGTACCAACCCTGCAGCAAAAAAAGCAGTACCTATAATAGGTTATATAGTGAATGATAGACTATATAAAGTTTAGTTTTAAGTAAAACCGAGTGGGTAATATTGATCAACTTAGTACAGGGGCGTATCCAGGAATTTTCCAAGGGGGGAGGGGGTCCAACTTTTTTTAACATTTAAAAAGTATATACAATCAGTAGTTATTGCACCTTATGAATTTTAAATTCTGTCAATAAATGGATGAGGGTCTAGACTAGACCCCTCCCCCCTTGGGTACGCCACTGACTAAGTAGGTGTGCACTTTAATTAATTAATGCACGCATATATATATATATATATTAGTTGTATATTTGTATCGTTGTAAGTATTGTAACTACATTTAGGTAGTCATTGATTTCACAATTGATTTCTATATTTACAATATTTAAATTTAAGAAGTGTGCCTTTATATAATAAGCAAATGTTTATAAACGTATCATTATATCGGTTACCTTTACGGCTTTACAGCCACTCTTGTTAAGCATTCGAATATTCGTATTTACTATTTAAATACCTACTTATCAAATATTTTTTGACAAATGTATTTTAAATACTTTCAAAATAGATTTTCTTTGTATTTTATTCCAGAATACTAAATACTTTCTTCCTTTTTACCATCGTATTTTAACAAATAATATTTTTGTTTCGTACATTACAATTTATTTTAAAAAATAGTGTTAAAATATTATTTTATAATGTTTCTAAGAATTTTTAAGATTTCATTAAATACGCAGTCACGCAAATGACACAATAGCTATCTACCTAAAATTCATATCTATCTTGCTTGACAATAGAATAGGTATTTGACATTTGAAACGATTCTCGAACCAATTCAATTATTTTATTAAAATATTTATTAATAATTTTTAGTAGATAGGTATTTGTGATGATAAAAGTATCTACTAATATTTTTGAATACAAAAAAAAGTTAAGTATTTTTAATAATTTTAAAATGTATTTGTATTTATATTCAAATACTTTTAAAAGACAGTATTCGAAAAGTACCTATTCTTAACAAGACTGTTTATAATTTATATTTCAGAGAGGATTTATCGATTCCGTCAAAACATACCTCAGGTTTGAAACTTTGAAAAAAGTTATGCGTCGACAATCGACTCCACTGGCTGTTGATTAGATGATGTCTAAGTTCGCCACAATCGTCTAAAAATTCATCGTTATTCGTTTCTCAACCTGTGGACTGTGGTACGCGTACCACTAATGGTTAGTAGGTGGCACGCTAAGAAAGTCTTCCCTTATAAAAAAAAAATGGAATCAATCATTATCACAATAAATATTATTTGGTTTATTTGATATTTATAATGATATAAATAACAATTGTACACTGCATTTCATTTTCTTTTTATGCATTAAACGCTTAAATAATTTTAACAATTTTGTAGTTGCTAACAAAATAAATTTCAATGCATATAAAACAACGTATTCATTTTTGATAAGCAAAAAAATAAACGTTATTTGGTCAAGTGCACTTGATGGTACATGAACATTTTCAAACCATAATGTGGTGGTACGCGGATATAAAAAGGTTGAGAACCACTTTTTAATCACAATTATAGACTCTAATTCACAGACATCCAATGTTTAACTCTAATTATTTAAAATCATGTTTATACCCGTAACTATTGAGATTTGAGACAATTCAATTAATTTTAATTTGTTTTCACGCTGAAGGTATTTGTTACAATATGATTTTAAATAAAACTAAGCAACTAACAAATATGTAGATATTTCTCTCGGCGATTTAATAATTCAGTTGACACAAAAGTATAATTATAGCAACTTCAGCTATAGTGTAAATAAGAAGGAATATACAGTATATAGGATATATTTTTAATAAAATGTTTATTGTTTAGTAATTATTTCAAAACAATTTTAAGTTGTACGCAATCAAAATATAATATTATGTTCAACTATCCAGATGATAATTTAAAAAAATAATTAACTTAATTTCAACAGAGTTAAATTTATAATTTACTCCATATTAACTTTAAGATTTAGAAATAGGTACATTGTCTTTTTAACTATTAACTTATAACTTGACATTCTTAAAATTTTAACGTTAGGTCGTTGTCTTAGCTTTACTAACTCAAGTTAATTCTTTTCGCATTTGCTTGCAATATTGGCTACCACTTGAACACATGAAAAAATAAGTTCGCGGTTTAAGGACATTTTAAATTTTAAAGTTTTTTTTTCTATATATATATCAATAACATTTTAATTTTTGGGTCAAAAAGCTTGAAAATTAAATACAAGGCTCCTGATATATTGTTACAACAGACGATGAAAAATATTAGAAATACACAAGCACGTTTTTTTTTAAAGCATTTAAAGTTAAAATGTTGACGAAATTTATCAAATTGAAAATTTACAAATTATTTAATAGGCATAGTTAAAAATGTATAAAATGTTCAACTTTTATAGCTAAAGATTAAAAATTTAAAACAAGGTTCAACGTAGGTGATTAATTATGTAACCAAAAAATCTAAAAAATATATAAAATAAATACAGTTTTTTTTATAGTTAGGTATTTTAAGTTCAATTTTGGACTGAATTACATATTAAATATTCAATAATAATGGTTTTAGTTATTTTGTTGTAATTTAAAAATATTATTCGTGGATACTTAAAATTGCTCAAGTATATTATTAATTATTATATTCAAATATTGAAATATGATATTTAAATATGCAAATAATATTAATTCAACTTATCGGAACTCGTATTAATAATAACAATATAATACCTAATATAAATATAATACCTAATATAAATATAATACCTAATATAAATATAATACCTATAAAATATCAAAGGCTGACAAACCGTCTCGGCTCAGAATCATTTTTCTTATACAATGATATTATATCATTGAATTCAAATTTAACACCATCCATTACAGCGATACTCACTAGCCCGTTTTTTAAGTTGTGTTTTCGAAAGTTAATTTTTTTGTCCTTTACTGTTCCATCCACTACAAACCCTTGCAAATATTTTAAAAAATGTATGTTGCATACAGTTAAACAGGTATAGTTGGGATTAATTTCACAAAAACATTCACCAAAATTTAATTCTTAGTACGGTTTTTGGAAATGGTATTGTGGAATATGCAGGGTATACATAAACTTGAAGATGTTCAAAAATGTTTGAAAATTACACAAAAATTAAATAGAAAATAATATACACAGGAACAAATGCGAGTGATAAATAATAATAATAATAATATGATACGGTAAACTATATGGGCTAAATAATATAATAATATAATATTATACAATTTAGGTATATACGATGAGGTTTAAGACGCAAATCAGCATGGCGTGTTATCTCCTGCGCGCTTTCAACAGTACAACATCGCAAATTTGCATTCAGTGGAACTAATTTTATTTGGGTAGGTAGCTTTAATATTAAAGTGAGCTCACTTGAATTATCAAACTTTAAGATAAGAATGTTATCTGCGTTGAACGTCAGATTTTTAAAATATTTAAATTTTTTAGGTAAATTATGTCGAGTTAAATAAATTGTAATATTGTACCTACGTACAACTCACGCGTTAAGGATTATTTAACGCACTCTGGTTACCTAAAAATATGATGTTGTATTCACAACTCGTTTAAAAATTGAAATATCATAAAAACATCACAAACGACCAAACACAGATAACGTCCTTACCATTAAGTTCACAATATTTAAAGGTTAATTCAGTCGGTAGTATTAAAGCTAACAACACAAAATTGGTACCTATTTGGTGTTGCTGAACGCGAATTTGTTGTAGGTACGTTGCATAATACTATACGTTTCTGAGACAGAGACAAAACATTCGAGTGTGACGCGCTCTTATAATATTAAAATTAAAATTTAATAACTATTATAAAGAACAAAATGACATTCAGTAATTAAAGTATTATAATAAATTATAATATAATTTCGTTAAAACATAGTACCTATCTAATAATAACAGGTCAAGACGATTAAATTTATGAGTTGTATGTGAGTTTGCAAACATGTTATGTACAGCCGTGTAAGTACATACAGTACTGTACGTATAGTGTATATTTTATGAAAGGTCTTAAACTTATAGATCTTTGGTAAGAGGTTTGTTTAATAAAAAGATAAAGATTAATATAGGAATGACTTCAGTCAATAATATTATCATGTTTTAATATTGAAACAACAGTTTATACCAGACAGTGACCAGACTAGAAGTTAAATTAATTCTTAGAAACAAAATCACTTTCTATTTTTTTGTTTTGGTTAATATATATTATACAGGTATATTATAAACACGAATAAATGAATATTTTTTTTATTATAGCTGTAAGCACAATTTTAGGTCGGGGTAATAAAAGTCGTTTAGAAAGTGTACTTGGCCTAAAAATTATTTACGTCTGAATCATCATTTACCATGTATAGATATAATGTGTAGGTATTAGATATACCTAGGTACTATACAGAGTGTATAACAGAAAGACCTGATGGATGAAATGACTTTAGTTCTAATCAATATTTAAAAAATAATTGTATGTATAATTTATAGTCACTTGCGCAGTTGCGCTACACGTTAAGTATAAAAAAAATTATTTACATTTTTTAATAGTGAAAATAAAAATTTAAAATTTGATTTTTTTGGAAAAATTCAAAACAGACAG